AAACTATTAAATCGCTGTATTCACAGAAATGTTTTAATATCGCGATAAATATCATTATTATGATATGTTTTTTTGTCGTATTTATGTCTGAAGACTGTAAGGCCCCATTTGATTGGTGAAATTTAGATAATGCATATAATAAATGTAATTTATTCACGTCTGCGATATGTATATTGCTATTATCACGATACCGATAATTTTGTAATATATATTCAAAATATGATCAAACACGGAGAACATTTCAGAGTATATGCTTTAAAACGTAGAAAGAATAAGTCTGTTTCTCAAGGTCTATATATATATATATATATATATATATATATATATATATATATATATATATATATATATAAACAATTAATTTACTGTATTTACAGAAATGGTAGAATATCGCGATAAATATCGTTATCATTATATTTTTTGTCGTATTTATGTCTAAAGACTGTAAAGCCCCATTTGATTGGTGAAAGTTAGATAATGCATACAATAAATGTAATTTATTCACTAATGCGATATGTATATTGCTATTAACACGATAACGATAATTTTGCGATATATTCATATCATAATATGATTATACACGAACGAGTACATTTCAGAGTATATGCTTTAATATGTAAAAATAAATAGTCTGTTGCACATGTGGACAATATATATATATATATATATATATATATATATATATATATATATATATTAATTACCTGTATTTACAGAAATGGTAGAATATTGCGATAAATATCCATATCATGATATATTTTTTTGTCGTATTTATGTCTAAAGACTGTAAAGCCCCATTTGATTGGTGAATTTTAGATAAAGCATAAAACAAATGTAATTTAATCACGTGTCTGCGATATGTATATTGCTATTATCACAATTATCATATTACTAATCACGATGAAAATAATTTTTCGATATATTCGATATCATTTGAAATATGATTATACACTAATGAGTACATTTCAGTGTATATGCTTTAAAATAAAAGAAAAGTCCTCTACATGTGGACATTATAAACTATTAATTGATTGCAAATTTGGGAATGGTAGTATACCGTGATTAATATCGTTATGGTGATACGGTATTGTGTAGTATTGCTCAGCACACACTGTTTTTTTTTTTTTTACGATCAGCGTCTCTGGTTTCTCCGTGTGTTTCTCCAGAGATCTTGGTCTGATCCTGGAACAGCGGTGATGAATGATCTCAGTCTAGTTAGTTAAGAGTCGTCCTACATTCACCCAGCGGGTCCCGGGCCCCCGAGGGCCTCCTGACGCTGTTTTTAGCAGCACTGTAATGAATGCGGCTCTACACTGATCTCTGCACCTCTGGCCTGATAAAGCAGCAGCTGCGCTCATTACTGGTGCTCTTTACACATCTTTAACATGATCTCACACACTTATAAAGCTGATCAGCGCATTACCAGACAACCACGGAAAACAGTTCAGCACGTCAGGACAAATTAAAAGCAGCTTAGAAAAATCACAAAGCAAAAAATAAATCAATATAAATGTGAATAAACAGGTTTAGTTCCTGCACTAAACTCAAAGCATTAATAAAGTCCCACATGTGCAGAATTGTGTCTTATAAAAGACACTCTGAGTCAAACGATGACAAGTAGAAGAGAAGTGCGCGAACACACACTTTAGAGCTGCTGCAATAGCTGAGCTGAACTGCTCCAGTCTGAGATCAATAATAACATTCAGTGATGTAGAGGCCGAGCACTGATCTGAGAGCAGCAGGTGTGTGTTGATTGAGCTGATGCTGCCCCCTGCTGGAGCTTACTGAGAAACACAGACATTACTGGTCACACACACACTCACACACACTCACACTCTACACATTCACATACACACACACACTCTCTCGCTCTCTCTCATACACACACATGCGCTCTTAGAAACACACACATACACGTGCACAAACTCTCACACATGCACACACTCTCTCTTTCTCACAGACACACACACAAACACACACACATGCACACGGACACACACTCTCTTACACATTCACGCACACACTCTCAACACACACTAACATTACAAACGTACACACAGTCTTAAATACACACTCTCACATGCATACTCACTCACTCACTCACTCACACACACACACACACACACACACACACACACACACACACACACCCGTGTGCATGCACACACTTTTACACATTCACACTCACTCTCTATTTCACACACACACACACACACACACACACACACACACACACACACACACACACACACACACAC